GTAGCAAACTGCTCCAAATGTTTGAGGGTGATTTCTTTGTATTTCGAAGTCTCTGCCAGTCGATCATAAATGACAGTGTCCTGGAAAACAAACAGAAGGTATAACGCACTTCATTAAGAATTCTAAGTTTAACAGAGTTGATGTTGGCAACATCATCAATAGCAAATCAGGATAACAGCCAATCAGCTTTAGCATTAGTTTTAAAGCACGAAATATTTTCATCTAATAATACTATTTCCCTAGTGACACTAAGAAATAAGGTTCTAGTCCTGCATTTTCAACTTTCTTCTTTCTGAATACATCTCTAGTTGTTCCAATGCTCAATATCTCATAGTCTATTAATACCTCACCTGCCATTCACACATGCTCCAAGTTTTCCCCCATCCTGGAAGGTTTTGCAGAAAACTGCTAAGTGTCTATAGGTGCTAATGGAAGAATGGTCCAGTATGGGCTGGACCGAGCGAAGCGGAAGAGCTTGTCCTGCTCCAGGACTCCTGGGGACTTTTAAAATGCCAATATACACGAAGGATCTTGAAGCAGGCTACATGCTATGTGACCCAAACTCATTAGACCACAGAAACGTTAGGGGTTACTGGTGCTCACCAAAAACCAAACTTTAAGAAACAACAGAACCAAATCCACTCAGAGGACCAGTGGGTAGAATCTCGGACAAATCTCGAATTGCCATAAATATCTGAATATTTCCGACTGAGTCACTTTAGCCTTAAGATTCAGTTTACTTAATTTGTAAAATCGAATCACTAGATTATCTGTCAGATTCTTTTCAGCTTTAACTTTATGCACCACTTAGGTGTCTCTGGTTTTTGCTCTTTTATAAATTGCCTATTATTCCTTTAGTCATTATCTGGCTTTGGTTTAATGCTTTCTGAATTTTAGTATCCAGCCTTCACGGTTTTATTAGACCAGGAAAAAATAAATCATTTACCGGCAATTACTTTCTCAGTGGTATTACCCATTTTGGGGTCTCCAGTCTCAGGGCTGAGATCTGGAAGCAGACTAATGGAGCATGATTTAGAACCCTTGAGAGAAACAGAACTTAGTGGCCTCGGAACAGATGGAATATTCCAGGCCCCAATTACGAACTTCTTTTCATTTTTCAGTGGCTGAAGGGGAAGGGGAGCAAAGCAAAAGGAAATGATAATTTCCCCTCATGGCTCCTTCCTGAGAATGAAAAGTAGAACTTATAAACTCTATTTTTTTCCAGAGGCTAATAAAATTTTCAATGAAAACAATACAGGCCACTTTAAAACTAAGAAACATTTTTAAAAAATTAAAATAATGACAATAAAAGTGATAAGTAATAAAGTAGAAAGATTAAATTCTGCAGTGTATCCAAACATCCTAGTGGAAGAAATTGAAGCTTAGAGAAATTCATTTTCTACCTTCTTGACGGTGTCAAGAAAAGTAGAGGAAAGGATGAAGCCTTTTGCGATACATGTCTAGTCTGTTTTTAAATGACAATCACAACCGTCTGGCCATGCTTCCACGTGAAAGGTGAACGAATACACATACTTTTCCACCCATGGTAACTCCTTTCTTCAGAGGCTACATGGACTACATTTGGTAGTTCATTGTTCGGGACCAAAAAAAGGCTTCTTCACAGGCCCTAAAGCATGTTCATGCCCTAAGATCACACTTAGAACCTACTGAGCCTGGCTTCCACATTTGTAGGAACTTCTCACTGGATTTAATTATCTGGCCTTGTAAGGTAAGAGGAAAAAATCAAAGCTGGAGCAGCGTGGCACAAATTAGAGTCACTGCACAGAGAGTCCAGGGCTCCAAGGAACCTTAAACCCACAATGAATAATTCACCTTCGGTGAATTTTCATTCACAAACTTGCATTTTCTTATTTATCTTTTAGACTGAAGTTCGAATCATGGTCTGCCATCACTCAGAGCGAACGCATGGTAGGTGTGCAAAAACCTATTTGTTAAATGCATAAAACACTCGATGTAATCCTCAACCATCCTGAAATGTCGCCTGGGTAGAAAACCCCACGATACCATATTGCCGAAGAAAGACCACACGGTAAAATGCAAGAGTCAACAATAACAAGGTAGCGGTGGGGAAAAAAAAGGCCTTACCCAATTACTTACACATTACAGTTTATCCTGAAGTCATCTAGATAATCTCGCTCTAAATTAGCCAACTGCGGTCAAGGAATCTGATTTTGTCGTCATGTTAAACAACGAGGCAAGACTGACCTGCCCATGAAGCTTGGCCTCTTTTGAGCCAGACCATTTGCCAAAGGCACGAGACATGGTCACATTCCAACACAGACATTTTCCGTGTTTTTGTACCCTTCAGAATCATCAGTACTCTGTCTCTGAGGTGGGGGATGAACTGCTAAAAATAACTAATTTCAGATGTGGTTTTTGTATACGGCACAGAATTTTACTGAAGGGCCACCTAATTCGAAACTTTCAGTCACGTTAAGGCCCCTGAAGCATTAAGTTTATCAGTCAAGTTTCTAATTCCTTCTCTGGTATGTAAGTTTTGGAGTCGGATTCTTGTTTTCTTGAATAAATTACATTTTTATCTGTGTAAATGTACTTTGCCTAAGTTGGCTCCTGTTACAGATATAAATCATATACTCCATACTTTTTTCATTTAAAAATTAACAAAGCAAGACGTCTTTGCTGCAGAGTTAGAAAAAACAAGAAAAGCAAGTCATCCGTAAACATACACAGAGTCACTATCTCTTTGTGCTGTATTCTAGATGAGCTTTTCAATACTATCTTCCCGTTTACGGATCATACTGCCATCTCTTCAACTGTGTCTATTAATAGTTTACTCTGTTTACCGATTAAAAAAAAAAAAAATTTATGGTTTCTAATTTACCTTACCTGTATCCTCATTTTCCCTCCTAACTTCTTTTTGATTAAAAACAGCTGGAATTTATTTTTCATACTGAGCTGTAAACATTCCTTGTCAGACGAGTCTACACAAATGACTTCATCTGGAGCGAATCTATGTTCCAGCTGGTTTATGTTGCTGCAGAAGGTGTCAGATTCAAAACAGAGTCACTCGTGCCAAACCCTGGCAAAACCGAGCCAGGGAAGGCCTGAAGGGAGGGTTCTTATGCATGATTTGCTTTAAAACAGGAACTGTGACGAGAAATTGTTCCAAACCGCAGCTTACTACCTGAGTCACACACGGACAGCCAGCAGCTCATACGAAACACCTGACACTGTCTTACAAACCCAATCCAGCAAGCCAGCCTGCTAGGACTTTCAGAGCACAAGATTTACCTAGCAACCGCTGCCACTGACCAATCAGAGCTTGCCAATCCCACACCACCGGCATCGATTAACTTTCAACGAACTTTCTCTCAAAACAATTTAAGGTCACCCTGGTCTGTGCATATGCCCCCAAATGCAATTGTATCATTTGTATATTCCCAAATAAAGCCTTTTGCTTAGAGATTAATCTATTTTTATTCGACACAGACACCGATCGTCTCCCTTGGCATGAAATTTCCTCATGTGCCTATGAGAGCTGCTCTTGCTCGCTCACTCTTCGCATGCATCCCATCCTAGTGGTTTCATCACCCCACCCCTAGGTTGGCGTGGGCTTTCCTCGGCCTCGCCTCACTATCTTGGTGAAGCTTATCACTGTCTTTGGCTTCAAAGCGGGGAGGCTAGCTCCCACCCGCTTTTTACATAAAGTATTATTTGCCTCATTTCCCCACAGAAGCCAAATTCCAGCCACTGCTCCTTAATTCTGAATCCACAGCCTGGGATGCCCACCCCACCTAACTCCAGGCTTCAGCTCAATGAATTGCTTTGATTTTATATTTGTCTTTTCGTTCACAAAGATATTTATCTTGTTTTTGAGACTGGTTTTGTCTTCATATTTTCTCTTTAAACTAACTACATCCATCGCTGCCACGATGCTGAAATAGGGGAGATGCATCAAAGTGTGAATACTAGGCTATCTCGACTGGAGAGTGTTACCCGCGATTTCTTAACGGAGCCGCGCTACTTGGATTTGCTGCCGTGAGTGTCACTGTTGATTATTCTACCAAGAAATCCACAGACTCCCCAGATTCTCCTCCAGATTTCGACCTCCTTTTTGGTTCCTCTACTTTTCACTTTTAGCCTTTTTCTCTCTTCATATGAGATCTCATAAGTCCCCTGCTTTTAATTTCCAGCTACACGTATTAACTCCTAAGTCTGAATCTGCACCCCAGATTTCCTCCCCAGTGAAATCGAGATATCGTTGCCTCGTGGCCCAGACGCAGGGCCCAACTCCCTATCTCGGTGAGCGGCACTGCCTAGTCTCAGCCAGCCAAGCAGAACGCTGGTGATGCTCCTACATAATCCTCCTCCTCATCACCCACGTGCAACTGATCACTAAGTCCTAATCTCTCTCCTCTCAGTCTCTTCTGCAGTTGTCTTGGTTCAGATCCTTACTGACTCTCGCCTGCACTGTTGCCAATAACCCCAGCTGGGAGTTCTGTCTGCATCTCTTTTCAGCCTAAATCATCTTTCCAAATGGCATCAGAATGATCAGGAAGAAAGTGCAAGTTCTTGAGCATGAAACAAACACACACACACATGACCTAACTCACACCCACCTTTCCAGTCACGGATTCAGTTATTCTGACAAGCTACAAGTGGTTTTCAAATGCTCCTTGCTGTTTTACATGCTTATGTCTTTTTATGACTTAACCACATTTCATAGCCAATTCGGGAGTGAGGGGAAACAAATCAGTAAGTTAATATATGCAAACTTGTCATAAAAACAGAAACATAGATCAAAGGACCAGAGCAGAGAGCCCAGAAATAAATCCAAATACGGTCAACTGATTTTTTTAACAAGGGTACCAAGAGGACACAATGGGGAAAGGATAATGTCTTCAATAAATGGTGCTGGGACAATGGGATTTCCACATGCAAAGAATAAAACTGAACCCTTTTCTTACACTATGCATAAAAATAAACCCAAAATGGATAAAAGACCTAACGTCAAACCTGAAACCATAAAACTTTTATAAGAGAAAATACGGGAAAAGCTCCTTGATGTTGGCCTTGGCAATAATTTTTTGGGTATCAGACCAAAAGCTCAGGCTATATTAGCAAAATAAATAAATGAGACTACATCAAACTAAAAAGCTTATGCACAGCAAAGGAAATAATCAACAAAATGAAAAGGCAACCTACAGAACGTGAAAAATATTTGCAAACCGTACCTCTGATGAGTTAATATCCAAAATTTATAAAGAACTCCTACAACTCAATAGCAGAAAAACAAATAATCCAATTAAAAAATCGGCAAAGGACCTGAACAGACATTTCTCCCAAGACAACATAAAAACAGCCAATAGGTATATGAAAAGGTTCTCGACATCACTAATTATAAGGGAAATGCGAATTAAAACCACTATGAGGCATCACATCCATACGGATAGTGATTATCCAAGAGAGATAAATGTTGGTGAGGGTGTAGAGATAAAGCAACCCTTGTACACTGGTGGTGAGAATTTAGACTGATATGGCTATTACGGAAAACAGTATGGGGATTCCTAAAGTAATTAAGAATAGAACTGCCATATGACCCAGTAATCCCTGTTCTGGATATATACCCAAAGGAGATGACATCACTGCGCCTTGTAAAGACATTTGCATTTCCACGTTTATTGCAGCATGATTCACATAGTCAAGATATGGAAAAACCCAAATGTCCATGGACAGATGAATGGAAAAAGAAAATGTGGTTCATATATACAATGGAATATTACTCAGCCTTAAAAAAGAAAGAGATCCTGTCATTTAACATCCCAAAAATGGACTTAGAGGACATTTTGCTGCACGAAATAAGCCAGACACAGAAAGAAAAATATTGCATGATCTAATTTATACGTGGAATACATGTTTTTTAAAAAAGAGCTCAAATACATAGAGATAGAGAATAACCCAGTGGGTAGTTACTACGGGCGGGTGGAGGGGAAATGGGGAGATGTAGGCCAAAGGATACAAAATAGTAGAGATGTAGGATGAGTAAGTTTAGAGATTCAATCTACAACACAAAAAGTAGAGTTAATAAAATTATATCAAGAAAATTTTTTTCTAGAATAAAAAATATAGGCAAACTATCTCTATGATTATTACTAAAGTAAATGCAATGTTTTTATTTTTTATTCAATGTTTTAACTTCCCAAAGTTTCTAGGTAAAAACTATTCAAAACTGAAAAAGAAAGGATGTGATTTTTGGGTGTTGTAAACCAACCGTTTAAAGTGGGTGGTCTTAACGACTCTATTCCCTTATCACTGAATGTTACCTTCGGGCCATAGAAGATTTTTACAATATACTTACATTGTATCCTGATCCTCTCTTTATGTAAATATTCCCCTGACTAGTCTTAAGCTTCTGACAAATCTTAGGTCTTTTCTCCAGTTCAAACTCTGATGATAAAATACGCACAATGAATGAATGGTAGGTGTCAGAATCAATGAGAACACAAAACTGAAGGAATCCTAAAACTAAATTCATGAGACACTGTGAAATAATTCTACCAAAATGCTTTAAAACCAAGGCATTTAACATTCTCAAAAAGAATTTAAACAATAGTCTTGGGCTTCTTAAGTTCCGTTACCAGGTTTCCAAGTGATAAAGCAAGGTTGTTGGTTCTATTTAAAATTGGAAAGTTCCAAGTTGGGAAGTTTATAAACTAGATACCTGGAAAGGGCAGTTCAGAAGGAAAATAATGATTGATCTTAATTTTAAAAAGGCTCTAGTTAGTAGGTTTTCCATTTTTCCATGAGTGTAAACATATTTTAACTGGGAAAGTTCAGTTAGAATGATGCATTACTATTTCTGTCAATATAACCTGCCAATATACCAAAGCCAACCAATAGAAATTCTATGATAATTTAAGAAATGCAAGACAAACAGTAATCGCATGAGGAAATTATAGCAGAAACTGTGATCTAATTTTCCCCCATTCTTATGATCATTAAAAAATTAGATCGAAACTGGAGTGCATCAGTGTATTCTAATAACATTTTAAACTATTTTCTATATTTAACTGTCTTCTAACATAGCTTACATAATATAAACTCCAAATACCATGTATAAAAAATTGAATTATAAAAATAACCTAGGCCAAACTTTTTCAAAGCACCAAATTTACCCAGAAGGAATTCCACATTTCACCAGAAGGGGCTGAACACTCTTACCATAAAACACCAACAAAAGTGGATGTCAGCAACTTCACGTTAAACATCTGTGTTACATTTCCACAGCAGAATGCCTAACACATACATTATAAACCATTGTAAATCAAAACTGTAAAAGACAAAAATAAAAACTTACGGCTCCTTTGCAGTAGAGTCGTAACTTCCCGGATGGAGTGCGAACAATCACTGACATTCTTTTTCTAGCGCTGAAAGAAAGAGGTTTTCCATAATGTGTCATCCTACCAAAGATATGCATATATATATGCTTGTCATGCCTCACATGTTTTAATATTCACAGTGAAAAAATAAATTTGACCACATTATGAGCCCTAACCTCCCACATATACAAACCATCCCCTGGGTGTACAGTTGGGTACCTTTGAAAGTTACATTATGTTTTTTAAAGCACCAGGGTACCATATACTGCCCTAGTGGGATAATTTACAAAATAACTCCCTAGAAACCTGCAAGAGTTAAAACCCACCAGGTTGAACCACCTGGTTCAACGTTTTCAGGTTTGAAAAAATATTTAAGCCAGCATCCTTAAAAGATGGATTGTATGTTACGGTTTTTATTAAAAACAGAAATGATAATCAATAATAAAAAATCAATTTTTGTTGAAAACAAATAATAATCAATGATACCAATCACACATAAAGGCGAACACCAGCACTTTAAAAAACAGTGTAAGCACTTATAACTATCGTTTTTCAGTGATTATTAGCAAAGCACTGGCAGCATGCAAAAAACCTAATTTATGCCGGCAAAGTTAAGCTAATGAGCACAGACATTTTAACGTTGTGTTGGTGACGTCAGTTTAATAAAAACTGTCAAATGTGTCATATCTTTCAATGCATTAGTAAGAAGAGACAGCAAGTAACACTGAACAGAAGAAACGGAGACAGCATTACCTAGAATTAGGACTCATTTTGACCTACGAGTTTACAAGCATTCTCTCTAGAATAGTGGGAAAAAAGCACTTCTCAAATGTGTGTATCTATTTGTTTTACCTTATAATATTCTGCTGCTAAAAAACTGAGATGAGCTCAACATACAGCAGCAGTCAGTTATGCTATCATAGCCTACAGCCGGGAGTTTCTTCCGGAGGCATCTAGAAATATTTAGGTTCCCTCTTTCTCCATCCAGAATTCCTCTGGTATTACCAACCCCATCTCCATCCCTGTACTTCAGGAATACATTTAACTGGGCCTCCTTGGTGATGACACTTCTACATTCTATCCCAGCTCTTCCTGATTCATGCCTCTCTTCACCCAGTGTTGATAACACGGTCCCAAATTCATCAGCTTCCCTGTCCTGCTCTTCTCCTGGTGAAACCCCCAAATACTGGGTGAAGGGGGACCCTCTTCTGTGGTCCATCGGAGGGATATTGCTGGAGCAAGTCACCATGGCGATCAGTGAACACGTGGTATCTGACAGCACCCAGCGCTCCCTGCGGCCCAGCCGTCCCCCACAGCTCTGCATCAAGCTCTCTCAGCCGTGCGGGGCCACGGGGCACCCCTTCCGCTCTCAGACTCTCCCACGCCCCTCTTCGCCCCAGAACCTTTGCATTTTTGCAATTCCCTTTGATGGACGCCTCAGATGAGAATTCCTCTTCTTTCTGCCACTAAACCTACGTATCTCTCTCTGCGTGCACCACCCCCCTCCACCTTTCTTCTTGATACCATGGAGGCAACAATTCTCCTGCCAGAGACCTTCCTTCCACACGTCCGTGAACCTTCTCTCATCCCTTCTCAGCACCTTACTCCAAAAGTTATGCTGCTGTCCCCTGAATCTGCCTCTTCTCTCTAAGGATCTTGCTCACCAGCGTTTAAATATACTCTAGTGTCCCCTACAAAACTGACCCCGACCGATCCCCCATGCACCGAGCCCCCTCCCCTTTTGACCCCGTCACGGTTCAACTTTTCCCAACCATCGCCGTGCACTGTCTCCACCTACTCCCTCTTCATCCCCGAACTTCCCCACCTCGCTTCTCTCCCACCAGGCAACGAACGGTTCCAGCCCACAAACGCCTGCCGGCCTTCCTCCCACCTAACCTTGCAGCGGTCTCCGACGTGGGGGCCTCTCTTCTCCCTGAAACTCCTTTCTCTTGGTCTGTGCCGCTGTTCTTTGTCCTCTATGTCCTCATCAACCAAGCAGTCTCTCTGGCTGACTCCTCTTTTTCTGATCAACCCTTAAAATGCGGAGTTGCCCCTGGCTCAGTCACCAGCCTCCGTTTCCCCCTCACTCCACACTGTACCTCCACGAGACCCCGTTCGCTTTCATGGCCTGAAATACCACTGACGGACCAACGACGACCGACCCGCATTTCAGCCGCCGGCTTCTTTGTGTTTCGGGCTCTTACCTCCCCCTGCGTCCCTGCCACCTGCATCTGCACGGCTCACAGTCCTGTCTAGCATCGAATCATTTCAAACGTCTCATTCTCCAAGTCTGTTTCTATTCCCATTTCTGCCATCTGTGTAAACGGCACCTCTGTCCACCGGCTGATGCCAGAGACCCTACCCCTGCCTCTCTTTGCCATCCATGTCCAATCCATCATGGAGTCCCACCGACATCCCTCTACAAGGTAAAGGATTCTATCAACTTCCCTTTATTTTCACTTCTGCTATCCGAGTCTAAGCCCCTCGTGTCTCTCGCAGAGACGATTTTAACAGCATCATATTTGCTTTTCTTACGCCCCTCCTTAAGCCTCTCCTCGCTACCACATCCTGAACGACCAGAAACTCCTAACCCTGCTTTGTTTTTCTCCGTGGCACTCACTACTCAGCACTGCGCTTTCTAAGGGTGTGTTTGGAAAACACACCCAAATGCCAATTAACGTGCTACTTATACTGTGGGTAGGACGCAAGGCGGCTTAGGAAGAACAGTCCCTTTGACAGGAAAGGAGAGAGATGGGGACGCACTCTGAAAAGACTCTATTCCGGTTGATCATCCAACTTCTCTTTCATTTTCCTTTGAGCCTCAGAACACACAAAGAAAACCATGTTTAAATAGTAAGCTGCAGAGTCCCTACTACTTTTGTTACTAATATGAACCACTGTCACTGGTCACTGCCAATCGAGACAGCAACCACAGCGGCACAGAAAAGGACACGTATAAGCTTGCTTGTGCACCAGACAATGTATAAGCTTGCTTTACACAGGAGCAAGCTCAACAAGAATGGTGGACACTTATTTCCTTGAAGAACAGCATTACTTCCTCACGGCCTTGATTTTTTGAAATGTCCTGTGAATGGTGCTGCAATCCTCAGAGACCCTGTAGCGGAGGTCTACCTGCCGCAAGAAGGTAGGTTCACTGGGAAACTAGATGGTCACATGGAAGTAAAAAGCCAAAACTCAGAGATACCACTGATTATAACCGAAAGCCTCTGTCATTTGACCTTAAGAAATAAAGTCAGTAGGATAATCACTTTGCTTTTTGTTCTTTCCGACTAGATCATGATTGGTCTTATGCCTAACAAGGACAGGGATATAGTTTCTGAAATCCCAAGACAATTAGATAAAATGAGCACATAATTACAACGTTTGACATCCTGACTCTGATTCATCTCCACTCCATATAAATCTGGCATCTATAAGTATAACGATGTTTCCAGATCACTAGCCGTAAGACTCCTCGCCACATACACTAGACTTGTGAATCCGACACTTGCGTTTCAGAAAGATTTTTAAACTGCCCCCAGGAACCATGCATTGCAATACTTTAAAGAAAGCTGTTTATGATTTGTCTACAGCTATTGACAGTTGAAAACATAGTGAAGATTTTAATACTGCTACACAAATTTAAATACAAAAGCATACTCTCTAGTTATTTCAAAGGGAAAAATAAAAATGGATATGAATTTATCTTATCTGTACACATCACAGAGCAGTTGTTTTTTACCTGGTGAACTCCAGGACGTTTAGCAATTCATATCTTTCTTCTTGCCCAAGCTAGAAGAAAAGGAATATATGATTACATACAGTTGGAAATATCTTAAACTTTCTGGAAATAAACCCTAGTCATGAAGTTTCATTGTAAAAAATGTCAACACAAACTTTCCCTTCTGAAATAAAGAAGGGAACTTACTAACTTTCAGGTTAATTGGGATACAGGAAATAAAAAGTCCAAAAGAGGAGAAAACCGAAAGGAATGCCAAGTGTTATGAAATAAAAATTTATCTTTAGGGAAATAATTTTGTGTCAGGAAACACGAAATTAAAAAAAATAATCATTCCTTAATACAACAATGTTTAGCTATGAATACTGGTATGGGCATAACAGAAACACTAAATAATGATTTTTAAGTGAGATATAATTTATGTACAATAAAATGCATAGATCTTTAATGTATAGTTCAATGAAAGCTGCGCAGTTTGACAAGGGTATACTCTGTGTAACCACCGCCCTGATCAAGCTATGGGACATCCCCACCACCCCACAAATTCCCTTGCACCCTTTTCTAATCCATCTCCTCCCACCCAGAGGCAACCACTGTCCTGAATCTTGTCACCATAGATCACTTCTGCCCGATCTCGAGATGCATATACATGACATTAAGGAAGATGTACTCATTTGTGCCTCTTTTTTTTTTTTTGCTCAGCATAATGTTTTTGAGATTCATCCATGTTGCTTATGAATCAATAACTCATTCCTTTTTATTGTTTATTATATGCCATTGTAGGAATGTATCAGTTTGTTTGTCTATCCTCCTATGATGGACATTTAGTTTGTTTCTAGTTTTCAGCTACTATGAATACAGCTGCTACGGATATTCTGTTACAAGTCTTTCTGTAGACACACTTTCGTTTCCCCTGGGTCACAAGTACAATTGCTGGGTCAGGTTTAAGTTTGCCTTTACTAGAAAATTCTGTAAGGTTTTTCCACTTGCTCTACATTCTCATTAGCATGTGGTGCCGTCACTATCTTTAATTTTAGCCTTCTTGGTGGGTGTGTAGTGGTTTCCCATTGTGTTCTTAACTGCATTTCCCTGATGACTAACAATGTTTTTTCATGCGCTTACTGGCTATTCATATATCTCCTTTTGTGAGATGTCTGTTCAAATCTTTTACCCATTTAAAAAGTTGAGCCTGGGCCGGGCG